TCCGGGGGTAAATCTATGATTCTATGAATTCACACAAGTTAAGTGCAGTCCTTAGACTCCTGGCAAGTGGCCATTGTGGTCCTCAACTGGGCAAAATATGGCTGCTCCTGTCCTGTCCAAAGGTGGAAGAGCCCACAGAAAACATTATACATTACCGAGGCACCTGTAGGCACTTCATAATGCAAGGCTGAATTCAATGTTTCAGTGGAAGTGGGATTTTAATCTGCTATGAGTGAACATGAAAAGAAATGTGATCGCCGCTCAATCTTGGGCCCAGGAACATGTTCTGTGAAAGTTTGAAGTGACTCAGTTCTGTAGTTTAGGGGCTTGAATCACTTAGAAACTAAACTTTTAAAAACCTGTAAAGCTGGTTTTGACCCTGTTTTGGATCTCTCCCACTTATAAATGACTTAATGTTACAGTTCAGACTTCCAGGAGACCTAGATCGAAGCAAAATTACAAACTCTTCCTCTTACCACCCATCCATTGCGAAGGCTATACCATCCATAGACCAAGACAAACTCAAGTTAGTGATGCATACATTGGAGTGTTTGTAAGTATGTTTGCAGGTCAAAATTAAAGTTGTTATTGGAACTTGTTAATAAAGTTGTTAATCAAGATCTGAACTGTAAGAGTAAGAAAATATTTATTTAAATCACTGGAATGGGTAATTTCCAGTCTCTTGATTACCTACATTTTTGATGGTATTTGTTATCGTTCTGTATTTTGCATATGGAGTATTTGAAATTACTTCAGCAGCCTTAACTCTAAGCTAACATTTTCTTGGTGGGGAGTAATTATTACTAATGAAAGCAGAGCGTTTGATTGATTTGATTTCATCTGGAATACTGTGTGCAGTTCTGGTCTCCCATGTTTAAGAAGGATGAATTCAAACTGGAACAGGTACAGAGAAGGGCTACTAGGATGATCCGAGGAATGGAAAACTCTTCTTATGAAAGCAGACTCAAAGAGCTTGGCCTGTTTAGCCTAACCAAAAGAAGGCGGAGGGGAGATATGATTGCCTTTATAAATATATCAGAGGATAAATACCAGGGAGGGAGAGGAATTATTTGAGTTTAGTACCAATGTGGACACAAGAACAAATGGATATAAACTGGCCATCAGGAAGTTTAGACTTGAAATTAGATGAAGGTTTCTAACCATCAGAGGAGTGACGTTCTGGAATAGCCTTCCAAGGGGAGCAGTGGGGGTAAAAGACATATCTGGCTTCAAGGCTAAGCTTGATAAGTTTATGGAGGGGATGGTATGATGGGATAGCCTCATTTTGCCAATTAACTGAACTTTGGCTATTAGTGGTAAATATGCCCAACGGCCTGTGATGGGATGTTAGATGGGGTGGGATCTGAGTTACTACAGAGAATTCTTTCCTGGGTGTCTGGTTGGTGAGTCTTGCCCACATGCTCAGGGTTTAGCTGATTGCCATATTTGGGGTCGGGAAGGAATTTTCTTCCAGGGCAGATTGGCAGAAGCCCTGGGGGTTTTTCGCCTTCCTCTGCAGCGTGGGGCATGGGTCACTTGCTGGAGATTCTCTGCACCTTGAAGTCTTTAAACCATGATTTGAGGACTTCAATGGCTCAGACACAGGTTTGTTACAGGAGTGGGTGGGTGAGATTCTGTGGCCTGCATTGTGCAGGAGGTCAGACTAGATGATCATAATGGTCCCTTCTGACCTTAAAGGCTATGAGTCTATGATTTGGCCTTGAACTGCCTGACACCTGCCTAAGTTGACACCAGTCAGAATGACATCAAGATTGCCAGATTCAGAAGACACCGCAGGAACCAGATTCATAGGGAAACGTTTAGCAGTGTCAGAGAATGATGACAGAAACCCATCTGTCTCTTGTATGAACCCTGACAAGAAGTGATATGTACACAAACAACCTGAATGGCCTTGTGCTTCAAGCACACAGCAGGGCAGAATTCTTCATGATTTCCAGTGTAGAGGATACACTGAATTTGGGTTGAACTCTGTAAGAACTTCTGATCTCCTGCTCTGGATAACATTACTCTTTTGTTGCTCAGCTGGCCCATCAGCACGTGCTGGCAGAACAAAGCCTGGGGAAAAGGAGACCTGGGTATGTTCACAGAGTGGCTGGACAAGTAGGAATGTTGCAGGTTCACAACCTGCTGGGGAAGCGATTACAGCTTCAGTGCTATCTCTGCACTCCATATACATCTTTATAAGAACAATCAGATTCTTTAAGGTTTCTTTTTTGGGCCTCCCTCATGTGGCTCTAAAATACACTGAAGACTTGAAAGCAGTGAAGAACCCGGAGCTCATCAGGTGACTAGAAATGAGGTCTCACCTCAGGACAGTAAGCTGAGTGAGTCCCCATGACCGATCTGGCCTGAGAGCTCTCTACCACCCTCTGGTGCTCTGAAACCAAATTTACTTTTTCAAAATTGTTTTTGCCACTTAGAAAGGGACTATGCTCTGGTGTTCACACAGAGATGAATAGATGCCAAGGCCAGAAGGGACCATTGTGATCCTCCAGTGTAACGCAGGCCAGAGACTGGCCCCAAAGTAATTCCTAGAGCAGATCTTTTAGAAAAACAGCCCGTCTGGATTTAAAAATTCCCCACCACAACCCTTGGGAAATGGTTCCAATGGTTAATCACTCTCACTTAAAAATTCACACCTAATTTCTAGTCTGAATTCGTCTAGCTTCAATTTCCAGCCACTGGAGCGTGTTAGACCATTCTCTGCTAGATGGAAGAGCCCGTTATTTGCTCCCCAGGTAGATACGTACAGACTGGGATCAAATTACCCCGTATCCTTCTCTTTGTTAAGATACATGGATTGAGTTCCTGGAGTCCTCACGCTAAGGCACAGGCAGAGGGCCGTGATGCTGACACTCGGCTCTCCCTACAGCACAGACTACCGAGAGAGTAGGAGACACTTGGGATCTGGTCTGGGGGGACTGGGTAAGGATTTTGCTCTGCTGTTTGACCAATGGACACTTGTCAAACACATTCTAGTTTATTGTCTCTAAACCTGGTGTTAGGCTTCTGAACTCTGCTTGGTGATGCAGGCAGGGGACCCCAAAGCTCAGCGAACTTGGCCTAGCAACGATCAGTCTGCCATCCAGGGAGTCCAGCATGTTTAGTGGCAACCTGAATCAGGAGTGGTCATGAGGCCGAGTGGGGGACTATAATTGGCCATGCATGGAGCTAGCGGAGCAATCCTAGGTGGCTACGCAAGGCTTCTTCCTCTAGTCACACCAAGCAGAGCGGTGACAAGCAAAGGCAGGAGACAGCGCAGAAGCAACAGCACAGCAGGAGTGGCCAAAGTGCAGTCCACTGGTGAGATGCTGCTCACAGCAGCTCTCCTCTTTATATGGAGGTAAAGCCCATAGAGACTTCAGTTCCCAGCATGCACCTCTCCATCTTGATCCGAATGGAGGGATGCTCGCACTGCATGCCTCACAGGCTCCCAAGAGGAAGTGGGAGCTGCAATCTACCTGGTTCTGTACCGGTGACGTCCTACGGCCCTATGCTGGGTCGTCTGAGCACTGCTGGCTTTGCAGTGACTGACTTGTACCCTGTCGGAGTGGGCAATCTGAACGCAATGATTTTATTTAGCTAAATAACTCTACCCCTTTTTCTCTGGCGTTCCTGGTACTTGTACCCCTGCCTGCAAGGGGTCATGTCCCCTGCATCGGGGGTTAAATCACTGTGTGGGGCCAGGTGACGGCCTGAACTCACTGCCCCTAGAAGAGCGGCAATAGGAAAGCAAAATAAACTCCACACTGGCTATTTGCATCCAGGACAGCGATGGGATCTGCAGGGCACTCAGAGACATTGCAATGCTGGTTTTCAGGAAGCCAGTTACTAGCAATTTAAACACTTTACTAGTGGAGCGGTGACGTGGCCAACTGGGCCCAGGCACGCGCCGGAGTCCTGGCACGGTACTTACTTGTCGAGGCAGGCAACGCTGAGGCACTTTTCTGGGGGCTGAGGCTGCGTGGTGCTGTCGCTGGCAGCGGCCGTGGTGTTGGGTTCATTCTCCTGGAGGATGGAGTCAATGAAGGTGGAGGGAGACAGAGGGGTTTCAACAGCAGAAGGGTTCCCAGGGCTGGCCTCCTCTATCTGGGGGCTGGGGGTGGGACTGGGGGGCTCTTCTTTGATACGGACCACAGGGCTGCTCCTTGGAGAAACAGAAAGAGAATGGTCACCAAGGCAGCAATGGTCTGCCAGTCCCTGCTCTCCGCATGGCACGCAGACAAGTCCCAGTGCCAGACACCGCCTCCCTCAGAGTGCTGGTCCCTGAAACAGGATTAGCCAGAACTAGGGTGGTGAACTAAGGCAAAGTGTTTTCCTCTGGTCGTGCCCTAGAGCAAACCCCTGGCGTGAGTGCCACAGGCTGCCAGGCGCTCTCTTTCCAACCCCCATAGCTGTGACTTTGGTAAGTGCATCAATCTAAGACCAGGCCTACACAGATTGACTCGCAGTTTAATTATTTTGCTTAGGGGTGTGATTATTTTCATAAATAAATAGTTTCATTGATACAACCCCTAGTATATGTGGAGTTACACCAGTATAAAGGTGCATATACCAGAACAGCTTATTCTCCTACTCTATGGGAGTAAGCTATCCCCGTCTAAGCACTACCATACCAATAGGATAGTAGTGATATGTGTAGACAAGGCCTGAGATCCACTCTCTCCCTAAGAGCACTGTCTTTGCTTCTTGGATTCTGTGCTTTTATGCGAGGGATGATGGCTTCTCTGGCCAGCCCTAATTCTGCAGCTGGAAATCCCCTTCCGCACCCCAACTGACTGAATTAGGGTGTGAGTGGTTCAAATAGCCCTCTGGAAGGGACAGCAGCGAGAAAAGAACAAATAAAAGGCCAATTAAGCAAACATATGGTCTATATTTAAGGGTGAGCGTTCCCGGCGGAGGTGTATGCAAAACAATAAATAACATTTGTGTGCGATTCAGCACTGCAGGGGAGGCACCAGCGCCAAGAATAGACTGTTCGAGGAGATGAACAGGTGCTAAAGCACGGAGGACATTTCTTGCTGGGGAAGCTCAGGCCTCGGACATCTCGCTGGGCAGGGGTGGCAGGGAATAGCAGCTTAAAGGCCGAGCTACAAGGGGACAGTGATGGAGGTATACAGGGTAAGAGCAGCGCTCAGTGGAATCAGTGGGCATCATACACACGGAGCTCAGGGCGGGATTTGGCTGAGTATCCATGATGACTCCTGTGTGCCTTGTGGCAGGAGACAGTCTGACTTTTCTGGGCTGGGACTGGCTGGAAGCTTCTTGCTGTCCAAGGTCAGATACATTTGCTTCAGGTGCTCAGCCTCCCTGCCCTGCTGTATGGCGATGGACCCAGTCACTGTCTCTCCGAGGAGGAGGAGTAACTTGGAAAGAAAGGCAACTGCTTTTTAACCCACGCCCTCCTACACTGGGAGCGTGGACTGCCAAGGCGAGCGTTTACTCTGTGCCCATAGTCAGGAGTGCCGATACTTCACTCATTCTAGTCACCGAACAAGCAGGTCAGTGCTTCCGCGTGGCCTGAGAGGACAGCACGATAACTGTTCCAGAACAGCAGTGTTCAGGCTGCATCTACACTACAGAGCTTCTGCTGCTCTAGGCCCCTCGCAGAGCTGCACCGTAGACTGACACCCGGAGCTCTCCGGCCAGTGGAGGAACACCACCTCCCTGAACAATGTTCAGAAGAAGCACTCTTCTGTCGCCATAGCTGAGTCTGCACCGTGGGGTTCGCCAACCCAGCTGTAGCACTAGATGTTGTGGTTTTTCCCACCCCGGTCCGACACAGCTTTGCCAGGATAAATGTTAAGTGTAGACCAGGACTCTGATTAGATCAAGGAAACAGGAGTGAATTTGGCATCTTCCAATAATCAAACAAAAGACTGAAACTAAAACAAGAACCTGTGGGGCAAGCAGAGTCCTGAGTAAGAAAGGGCTGAAGGACCTGGTCCGATTCCCAGCAGCGTCAGGCTCTAAGGGAATGCCTCCCCAACACAGCAGCTCCAAGGGCGACGCTGGTTTCTTGCTGCAATTCCCTACTGCGAGAGACCCACACCCGAGCTGGTGTTCCATAACCCAAACTCCACACAGATACCTTTCATCGAGACTGCCACTGGGGGAAGCTGAGGGGCTGGACTGGGCTAGTTCCGTCACGTCGGAGATAATGGGACCAGAGTTGGCTGAAGAATCCGGGGAGTACAGATTGGAGCCGCTGTATGCTGGGGAAGAAGCCTGAAATAACAATCAGAGCATTAGTGAAGTCATGTGACAGGCACACATGCACAGTCCCATTGCCAGGCACGCAGCCTGTGAGAGGGAGGTGCAGGAATTGCCACGGTGAGTAAGAGTACAGAGAGCTCACAGCCGATTGTGAGGACGAAGACAGGGGGCCTATCTCAACAAAAGCCCGTGCTGGCAGTCTCCAGCATTCAAAAATCAGGGTGTTGCCCTAAAAATCATTACACTGACTTAAAACTTATGAGATCTTTAAAGCACGCAACATGTTGGGTTCTTTCTGGAGTTTGGGCCTTTAGGGTTCACACATTTTCCAATTTTTCTCTGCAACCAAGAGAGCTAAAAGCTTCCTTTTATATTTCGATGCCAGCTGAGATTCTCACATATTCACCTGCCTCAGGGAGTTGGGGCTTTAAGAAATACCAACTATTGTGAGTCTTGCCACCAAACTGTGAGATAACAACACTGAAAGGCAATCCCATGGCAGGAGAGATTTCTAGTGAGCAGACCGAGTGAACCTGGATCCCCTCGCAAGTGCAGGAGTCTCAGCCAGGGAGTAAGGGTGGAGGGGCTTTTCACTGAAGGCACCTTTTCAGCTGCTAAATAAACTCCAGATCAAATTATGGACCAAATTCTGGCTGCCTGGTGCACACAGGCACACCCCAAAAAACTGACAGGCAGAGGGGGATCTGCGGCTTGTGTCCTAATTCAACACCTCTGGCGCTTACCACACCCGCCCAGAGATGACCCATGAGCCCACTAACTCTCCTCCTTCACATCCCTTCTTGAGACCCCAAAGAAATCAGCCACTGCATGATGGCTAGGCTGGGGGCAATTGGGAAGGACCACGAGTCGTTATTTATCATGAGGGTATTTATGTATATAAACCCATGTCTATTTGGACGTCTCCCTCTCTCGCTTGTCTTCTTAGACCGTAACCTGTTTGGAACCAGTGTCACCTCTACCTGTGTTCATACAGTGTGTAGCCCAGGGGTCTCAAACACACGCCCCCCGCCCCTCTGCCTACCCCGTGGTGCCGCAAGTCCCGCACCGCTCCCTGAAGCAGCTGGACTAGATACTGGCATTGTCTGGGGCTTTTAAAAAGAAAAAAAGCTCTTTTCTTTACAGGTCTGTCCTACTGCTTTTTAGCCACTCAGGCTTAGTGTCCTTTCTAAGTACTACCATCCCTGCAGCCCCGGCGGGGAATAGAGGGCTCCGGGCTCTCGCTCCCAGGCACTGCCCCCCGCAGCTCCCATTGGCTGGGAACAGGGAACCGTGGCCAATGGGAGTTTTGGGGGAGGTACCTGGAGGAGCAAGAGCAGCACATGGCGTCGTTTCTCGGTTACGCAGTTACTCTAGGTAAGCAGCGCCGGGCCAGAGCCCGCCCCCCGCACTCCAACCCCCTGTCCGGAGCCCCCTGCCACATCCCACACCCCAACTCCCTGCCCTGAGCCCCCTGCCACACCCTGCACCCCAACCCCTGCTGTACCCCTCACCCCTCTAGCACCCCATACCCCAACTCCCCGCCCTGAGCCCCCTGCCGCACCCCTCGCCCCTCCTGCACCCCACACCCCAATTCCCTGCCCTGAGCCACCTGCACACCCCACACCCCTCCTGTGCCCCCTGGGGGCAGGGAGGGGGCAGAGTTGGGGTGAGGACTTCGGGGAAGGGGTTGGAATGGGGGCAGGGAAGGGACGGGAAGAGGTGGGGCGGGGCCTCATGGAAGGGGTGGAGTGGGGGCGGGGCCGAGGGTGGCGGGGAGGAGGTGTCAGTGATGCGGCCCTCGGACCAATGCACTAGTCCTCATGCGGCCCTTGTGGTCATTTGAGTTTCAGACCCCTGGTCTAGCCCAAAGGGATCCCAGTCCTGGTCAGGCTTCTCGACACCCTCATAATATAAATATTAAACAACAGCTCTTCAGTCTGGCTCCCTCCTTACCAGGTGCTCAGATGCCTCTGTGTTGGTGGGAGCCGTAGAAGTGTCAGATAGAACCACGTGGAGCAGACCCTCTGCCCCAGGCACTGCCCCGGGCAGTCCTTGGACTATGCGAGAGGTTTGTGTGCGTATGCCTCCTGACTTGGTGACGGTCAATGAGCAAGCCACAGTGTGGATGAGAACAGTGTGAGTGAGGGCACTACCCCTCGGAACCTGAGTGCACAGGACAGGTGGCTCAGAAAAGCTGCCCACCCATCACTTCTGCTTTGAGTAGAAAGTCATAAACACTTGAGCTTGAGAGAAGATGGCCAGCTGTGTTTCTCATAATTGGGACAATCCTGTAATACTTGGAACAGCTCCTGCTGGCTTTGCTTAAGTGTTTGCTGAATGCAAGAATAAGGACACATTTCAAAGGCGGTAACAGGGCTAGGAGGGGGTTGGGATGGGAACACAGAAATTCCCCACGGGGGTGGGGGGGTCTAAGCACAGGGTAGAATTTTTAATAGGGCTCCGTTTTTGGTTCTGTGGTGGAAAACTGGATCAGGTAACATTCTACAAGGAGAGCAGTGGGAGTCTGAGTGCAAAGTTAATGCAGTAACTTTTCCCGTCTGGACACTTGGGTTGTCCAGGGACATGAGCCTAGTGTTCAGTCTGCTGTCCCCACAATGCTGCAGGACAGACCTTGTTATTCAGCTTCTTGGACACCTTTTATGTTGCTTTAAAAAAAGGAAAGAATACGTGGGAATCAGTCCTGTGGAGGGTGGGAGGGGGCAGGACTATGGGGTAGCAGAGCTGCTAGTCTAACTAGGGCTGTAAATCTCACTTCCAGCAGTACGATGTTCCCAGCACAGCACCAAGAAGTGGGCTGGACGTAAATGCTGCCTGGCAGTTTTGCCCAAGGAATACTGCCATTTGGCTCCCTAATGCTAGACAGGTGGGGCCTAGACACAGGCCCTGAGCACAATTAGTGCAAACCCCATGGTGTGGGCACTCTGATTTCAAACCAACTGAAACAGGGCACCTCTGGAATCAAGAGTGGCCGCACCAGGGGATGCCCGGATTTAACTAATTACACTATCCCAGAGGCAATCAAAGGCACAAGGTGATTGAGTTTATCACAGCTCCCCCCAAAGGCAATCAACACTGAAGCCAATTAACTCTATCAGCAAATGAATTTGATTAGGGCTCTTCAGCTGTTAACAGACAATTCCCACAGTGAGCCCAACCCCACCACCTGTTTAATGAGACCCTGCACTCCAGGACAAAGGGCAATTTGTACGCTCAGAAATTCAGTGCACTGCCATACCAATTAGGTTTCAATCATGTGTGAATGTGAATAGGTGAAAAGGGGAATCCAAACACACAGGATCCTGTGTCTTTCTCTGGCTTGCGGGGGCGTGCTGCAGCAGAGGCAATGTACGTAGCTCTAGGCCTGGGAAGAGGGGAATGATGGGGGTGGTGGCACTGCCCATTCGAAAGCGAATTAAGGACCAGGACTGGTGCACTTTGGATGTTACTGCATGGCAAGCGGGTGTGCTGGAGAACCATACCCTGCTTACCCCACAGTAACGTGGGTAGGCAAGTCCATTGAAGAGAATCCTGCCCAGTACGCCTCGGCCAGAGGATGGTAGATGGAGGCAGGACATCAAAGGGATGGATGGATGAAAGATGGATGGGAAAGGAGACAAGAATTAGGGGCTTTAGGAATCCGACAGCAAATTAAAGGCCCATCCAGAAAATAAGCAATAACAATGCTTCCCATGGGCCCCTCTGGGGGACCTGCCTGTGGCGCACCCTGGAGCCAGGGAGCTGGCCAAAGTGCCTGGCATCCAAACTCAGCAACAGAAGTCAAGGCCTGAAACAAGTGTCCCGTGTCCAAAACCACCTGTTGGGAGGTGACTTTCCCCCCTCACACCGGGAAGGTTACTGCATGCTCTGGGATCAAAAGGGTTTAATATCACATAGCCCTACTGACTGAGCACCAGGGACTTGCTCCACCCTTACACTCCAGTCCAGGTTACCCCTGTGGCCCCCCCATGAACGCCTCTCAATTCTCACCACGGAACCCTGCTATTCCAGGCCTGGGCTCACAAGGCTCTATAATGCACCTCAATCCTGACCGCCGGTGTCCAGAGGACAAACCCCAGTTGTGTGAGTGCGTGATGGGTTGGCAATGGGAGCAAACATTCAGCAGGGAATTGTTTGAGACCAAGTGCTCTTTGTTTGTGACAAAACCCAAAGGTGAACCCAGGTCAGCAGAGCGCTAGGTGCTGATGAACTCGGATAGCATGTCTGTTTGCATGGCGCATGTTCACTCCCGCCATGTTCTGCCTCTGTTAGCTACAGACTAAAATCCCCTCTCGGTAGGCTACAAAGCGCACCTGTCACTTTGATATCCTGCCAAATAACACACAAATCTCCCGAGCAAAGTGCAGCGTGAAGAAGAGGCCAGCTGGAGGAGCCTCAGATGACCCCTCCTTCCCCACACAGCTGTGCCCTCTTCCCTCTCAGGACCAGGAGCACACAGAGCACTTACTGCGTATGGGGATGAACCGTGGACGTGCTCCAAGGAGTACTGCCGACTGTATTTAGGCATGGAATGTGCTGAACTGCTGTCGTTCAACATCAGGGGGCTGCAAGAGAAACCCAACACCCATAAGAGAGTTACAAAGCTCCAGGTGCTGCATCTCCCTGAGAACACAGGGTCAGACATTAGCCAGGTGACCCAGGACCCAGGATACATCTAGCTGCCCTGGGCGTGGAAACCCTGTGGCTGGCGGTGGGGTGTGGGGTCAGAGTCCAGTACTGCAGAGCAGGGAAGCTAAGGACATGCAGCAAATCCAATGCATCACACTGTGGCTCTCCACAAACAGCAAAGCAAGTGGTTTGCCATTATTGCCAGTCTTCTGAACTCCGCTCTCCGAGTCCTCAGTGTAGCTAGCACCTTATATGCCGAGGGGTCCCGATTTGTGTGCCTGTGGTAAGACTTTCCCTCTTTAGAGGACCGTAACCAGCAACACCTCCAAGCGATTACGGAGTAGCACTGCGGAGCACGCACAGCCCCTTCCGCTCTACTTTGGGAGCAGTGGTGCTGTAATGGGAATTGGGCTCTCTGCACCTCCAAATCTAGCTGGGAGAAGCAACGTGTATGATTCAGAACATCAGGAGTGAAATACTTTGCAAATGAACACCATGTCCCAGGTGCCCTCACTAGCTCCCTTCAGGCCTGCTGGGCAAAGCTTTAAAGCACCCTGCCTTCCGAGCACACTCCTGCAGCTTCTGAACACGTCACATCAGCAGTGTTTGCACCTTGCTGTGCTTCAGCCCCTTTCCACCGTCCTATTGCTCCTAGGACAGCTCCACCCTGACCCCTTCTGCCTGCACTTCGTATCTTTTCAGAGTGTGAGCTCCTTGGGGCTGGAACTGTCTCTCCCTGCGAGGCTAGAAAGCACTCGGCACCCCTTGGGCACTACGGCTGGACAAAGAATCAGCATTTGAGGCTTGTAAGACCACAGCCGTTGTCAGCTCTTCACTTTGCAGCCTCATTGGTTACAACAGTTTATGAGTGAAATGGGTTCCGGGGGGGCTCTGGGGGGCTTGGATTAGCAGCAGAGGCTTGGTTAGCTCCCTGGGGTGAGTGACATTGTAAGCTGCCCTCTAGCTGTGAAGTGGGGCCGGATGCTGACTCGATGCCAGTGACTCTTGTCCAGTTCTACCACACTGGGAAACATGCTACAGAAGTGACGGAGGGGTGGAATCCCTTCCCAGTCACTGCTCTGAAGCACGCTCCTGCCTTTCCCACAGGGAATCTGTATCTCGATGTCTGAACATAGACTTACATCTTTCTCTTCACCCCAAGGATACGGTTTGACTGCACCAGTGAAATCAAGAACTGGATAAGCTGTGGGGAGAAAAAAGAACTCCTGTTATCATGATGCAAACAGTAACCTGGAAAAACAGGATCAATAGCTGAGATCCCTTGCCAAGGGGTTCAAAGCAGCGCCAGACGAGGACAAGGTAGAAATGCGGCAGACTGCTGAGCACTTGTGATGGTCTTTAGAATGACGGTGGAGTTTGCAGGGAAAAATACACTACCCTGTTTCCCCGAAAATAAGACAGTGTCTTATATTAATTTTTGCTCCCAAAGATGCGCTAGG